ATAGCGATGCATTGGAGTAACCTGTGGAGTCTTGGAGTGGTTGCTTTTAGTTAAAACCAATTAGAAATGACCAGAAATAACAGCGCCTGGAGACATAGAAGTCATTTTTCTCTTGAGCCTCCCCAGAGAGTTGGCCTCTCCATGGATTAAGTGTTTTAGTATATTAGGGGGCAGCTGATTAGAATCATTGTGCTTTTTTAATCATTACATTTTTGCATGTATAGTTTATAGCAGTATAATAGCTAATAAGGCTAAGTGTGTCACAGCAAAAGGGAGGATTGTTTAAATGACTTTGTGTATGAAACTTGGCCTTCACAAAGACTGCCAAAGTTAGACCAACAGAGAGGTTCTTGAATCAACTCGTCAATCTTATTTTATTACTTTTGATCAGATCAGCATTAATACAGGAGCAGCTTTGCTTTATATCTTTACACTTTGACTGATCCATTTCTTTACTTGAAGAGATTTTATTTTCTCTTAATAAATGTGTGAATTTCTGAAACGCTATGTAAACAAGCCACCTATTTAATATTCCAGTTTTCTTCAAGCTTGATTTTGTACTATGTTGAATTTCTTACATATATGGCTCCATAAATCACAAGAAAACATGTTAGCTATGGCTAAGAAGAGAAACACATTAATTGTTTCTAATTATTCTCTCTCAGGAATGTAGCCGCAATTTGTCAGTCGGGCAGGCGGCAGCAGTCAAAAGATGGACTGCTGAATGTGGCTACATCTATCATTCTGAGATGACCATAGCTAAGCCACCATCATTAACCAGCAACCTCAGGAGTAGACTAAAATTAACAGTCCCATACAACTGCTGTCATTACGACGGCACAATAACCAAATCTTTACATTATTGTTTAATGTTTGTGTTGTTTTTTTGAATCCAAGAGGCCTTACTAACTGTATAGTGTGAACTTCCTATGGTATTGACCCGCAATTCCAGTAGGTGTCTAGCCCGTCCCACACTGGGCCCTCACTGGCTCTTCCTGCAGCAGGGTCTGCTGCACCGGCTGTGTCCTTGTGTGCGGCGGGCGTGCAGCAGTGGCATGTGGAGCAGGCGGCAGGAAGCAAACCTCCCTGTCTCCCCAGACTGAACAGTGAATGAGGATAAGTGAGGAGCGCCAGTCAATGAATCAAGCAGCAGGAAGGGAGCAGCCAGGGGGGTAGTGTGACGTCCCCACGGGAGAGGCCTCGCATTAGGAACTTCCTCGTCTGTGTGTTTCTGGCACAGGTTAAATGGATCGCTCCCATTAGCGCGCTGAGAGGACAGCTCCATTATATGAAGGAGACTGTAACTTTGAATGTCATGGTGCAACAACCCCAGAGCACGCCTCGTCTCCCAGGGAGGCAGGGTGACAATAACCATCCATGATAATCATTCCCTGTCAAGCTTTAAGGAACCTGAAATTATGACGTACAGCCTGCCGTGTGCCTCAGACTTCATTACAGCGCTGTCACTTTGAGTCGCCTGCGATGGCACGGTGCTCTGTTGCCTGCTGCAGCAGCGTGGATGCCAAACCCCACACTCACTCTCCTCCTGTCTAAGTGGCATGTTTACAGGATGTGTGCCCCCCTGCAGATAGATGTGGTGGAGGTTAACCTCCAGTCGCCTGCACAGTGCCTCTCTTCCTGTATAGCATAGGCAGAGTCTCATGAGAACATGTGCTGACTTGTTTACCGATGCAAGGTAAAATATGACTGATCAAAGGCCACACTGTGACAACTGTCCCTCCTTCCACTGTGACAAATGTTAATGTAGAATTTGCAATTCAGCCGCAACTTCATACAGATAACTAGCTTACCTTTAACTTCCATTTCTATCACCGCTTATATAAATAAATGCCAACAGAGCACGTAGAATTTTATTAAAGGTGGTCCACAAGCTGTAAGCATATTTATAGCAGCCTGTTTGTCAGCCAAGGAGAGCTTCACCTCCAGACTGACCTCTGAACCTGCCATCCAGCGGAGAAGACATGAGCTGGCAGGCATTGCCAATGTCAGTGCCCAGAGCTAACTCCTTCTTTCCCACCACCTTACTCACTCATTGGCTTTTCGGCCCCCTTTGCCTTGCCACCTCCAATCACTGGGCTCTGAATGACACACAGAGGAGGAAGTGGGCCCACTAACTGCACCCTTCTGCTTCCTTAAACCTGCATAGCAACAGGCCGGATAAGCCTTTCCTTGCAAAAGAAGAAGATGTAGGTGTTTGCATGCTGCACCTTAGAAGGTGGTAGTGAAGAGAGTACTTTTTTATACAGTTAATTGTATGGATTTAAGAGGGTGGGAGACGGGCAGCAGTTAGTGGTGCCACTTATTAAACACACACACTGATGCAGCAATGGCTGCCTTTCTGTTTCTTAAAATGTGTAATTTACTACACATATGTTTTTCTTTGGTTTATATTCATCTCTGTGCATGGTTTTATTACTTCTTAAAAATCAGCTAAGAAAAGTTTCACTGAAGTTTTTAACCACTGGAGGTGCTGTAGAGAGATGATTTGTTGATCTGTTTCCTACACCATGAACAAGATTATCCACACACATGTCATAAGCACAGGCGTATAACTGTGTACACCCTCTGAGTGAGGAGCCTTGCTACTGAAAAATTCACAGCTGGTGCCGGCAACACGCCGTAATAGGTGGAAATGCGAACAAAGAAAAGAGGAAGAGGGCAACTGCTGGACAATTTAAACAGTTAAAGTGTCATGAGGTAGTAAATACATTCATAATGTTTTTTTGGGCCCTAAGGATACACACACACACACACACACACACAGACTGGGAAACTTTCAAAGTCTAGCAAACAAGACAGTGTTTGTTTACACACAAAATTCCCCAGAGTATATCCCTCCTTAAATAGACCTTATGAAGCATTCAGATTTAATATGTTCACCACAGTGGGACAATAGAGGTTTGCTTGGTATCAGAAATGAAATATTTTATTTATCATAGGGTATTAATTAGGAAATGTACTTACTCCATCTTTAATGAAGAGTTTTATATCATAATGGCTTTTATAGCTGCCAGATGAATCATTACTTCTTGACATTATCAGTGGTGATAGCACTGTGGTCTGTATCGTCACTCACTGACTTTTGACACTTTCATTACCTTTGTCATGAACATTTTACAAAGGGTTGTTTTTGGAAAGGCACATTGGTTAACACTTAAAAAGGCAGGAGCAGGCATCAGAGTTTAAAATTATGTGTCACTTTTTGCATATGTATGCATCGTACATTTATATTATATAAAGTACCTGAAGGTGAAATAATACTTATCCTGTTAAATGCCTGTTTTATGTATCTGTAATAGCACTTTAATTTGCTGTGTCTATTATACAGTTTCCAGTAAGTGCACCATATGTTATGTACATGGTGTAAGAACTTGATTTACCCATCAAAACAAAGAGCCCCATTACTTCTTCATACAGGATTTTATAGCTGCCTTGTGAGCAGCACCTTGACGCAGGCTTCCATGTCATTTGATTGAATTGTGTAGAATTAAGACTGGATTAGTTTAAAATTCTCATTGCATAATGTCACAGTTGGACAGAACAGAGGCTTTTGGCCCTGAGCACTGAAACACTAGCTCCATCACAGACTGCTGGCCCCTAGGTGACTGTTTTCCCTCTTTCTGCTCAGTGGAGTTAATATCAGTTATGTGTTTCTGTGTGTATGTCTATAGGAGGCTGAAGGGCTTATTTGTTTTCCCCCTCGTTGCTCTTTGACTCGTTTCCCCTCAAACGTGTCTGAAACATTGTTATCTCCGGCCAGACGCCTTTTTCACAGAGAGTTATTGAATCATGTCAGCTCGCCGTCCCCCGAGTTTCAAATGCAAGCTGTAGAAAAATTAGCCATTGCTTCCGCATGACAAGTGGGATCTATTAGTGTGCTCTCGCCCTGCAAAGCATGAGCATCCAGCGGACCGCTGGGGACCATGGCTGGCTGTGCGCCCGTCCGCGTCAGGCTCCTGGGGCATTGCAACAATGCTGCAGACAGGAGAGGCAGCCGGAGCCACAGCAAGAGCTGAAGTGGCTCATTCGATGAGTTGACGCCCGAAGGGGCGAGGTAGGGCAGCGTGAGCAGTGGCAGCCCAGCTCCGCCTCTGACTCACACTGGTCAGACAGGCCACTAGTCTGAAAATCAGTTTGCAGCTACTAACATTATCACTGCTTGTATGGCATCTATTCCTTATCTATTTTTTTACCACTGCACATTTTTTTCTCAGATCTAGATTTACAAGAGTGGGATATACAATAAAAATTACAGTATTTAGCGATACAAGTGTCTTTGCTAGTTCTACACACAACATTTTCCCACCCAGTGTCCACGTTGTTTTGCATGTTTCACCAACAAAAATCCGGTTTGAAGTGTAGAATTTCACTGGTATTTTAAAGACAGAGAGATAATAATATGCACTTACATATGATGGTGCACTATGGCTGGACTGCAGATTATTTAAAACCCTTGTTGGCCCTCGACCAACAAAATTGCATTCTTCTGTATAAATTATCTGCTAATTTAATGACCAAGTTTTTATTTTTAAATGTTCCACATTCTCTTGAGGTCCTGATCACAATGACCCTACATGTTAAGATAAAGGATCAACCAACTCTCACTGAGGTCAAAGTACCTCCATACCACTCTGGGCCACAGGCTTAGTCATGTGCTCACGTCCAATCAGTGCAACCGCTCGATACATTAGCATTCCAAATGTTGTTTGTTTTAGTATAAATTTCAATTCATTGCCTGCAGAGGATAGAGTTTCAACCACCTTGTTGTGGATGTTGTTGCAGCATGGCTGTAGGTCAGACACCAGTCTACACACATAATTATCCTGGGCCTGCCTCTTCTGTGACCTTGGACAGTGACAGTCTGTTGGACCACAGGGTCTCCTTCTTCATCCCTTCAGTCCGCCATAAGCAGCGCTACATGTACATTATGGTTTGTGCTGAATATTAATCTATTTTGTTTGCTTCTTTTCTTTTTGCAGGTATCTCAGTAACAAAGAAGACACACACCTGTGAGTACAAAGATTGTTTACTTTTACACTTAAATTTAAAGTCTGTAAAAATGTCATTTAATTCTGAGGCCAATCTTAAATTTAATCAAGATTTAAAAAACAACTTTACTATTCTCCATATACAGTTGAGATGACAGTGCTCTGTATTTATGTTGACTCTTTTTTTCATCACTGCCTACAAACATATTCCTGCCTTACTACTATAATAGTATTCACTTTCACCATTTCGCATTTCTCCATCTACATCCTGGAGAGGTTATGATGATAACTGCAGAGAGGAAATTAAAAATGCTATGCAGTCTTATGACTGCTTGATAATCATGCACAGTTGAAGCAGACAGTGTGCTGAAGCACCTCTTTGTTTTGTGCAAGGCCATGCAGCTGAACAACACGGATGTGGTGTTGTGGTGGTGTGTAGCCTCTGAGGCTGCATTAACTACCAGAGTTTGTATTCTTCATGTTCAGATCACATCGCTGAAATTGAAAGATGCAGACACTGAATGTGGCACGGCTCAAATGTGAGGTGCAAAGGTTTTTTTGTGCACTACAACAACAGCACACAGGCTCTGCCCTGTCTAACCATCTCTGCCCATTAGAATTTCTGTCTGCACATGAAGAATTGATGACCAGTCAAACCTGTATAGATCAATGATTTCCAAGAGATCTCTACTGCATTTTGAAACATGTGAAGTGTAATCGAAGAGACATGTAAAACAATTTTGTGTGGTGGACTGCTGTGTGTCTGTATGTGTGTGTGTGTTCATATCCCACTGTGTGAATGGAGGAAACCAGCCCTGAAGGCTATCCTTTTGCTCTGATCACTCTGATGAAACTTGTGGAGAGGGAAGGCCAGAGGGCTTTTCTGTGAGAGCGGTCGGAGTGTTTTAGATTGTGAGAGGCAGCATCTTGCCCTGTAAAACACCCCGGCTCTTTCTTACATCAGACAGCAGGGCAAAGGATATGATCTTCCCCTGCTAGACTGCTCTACCTTGCTCAAACAGCCTCGTCAAAACAGCAGCATGATTGTGTGTTAAGCTATTTGCTTGTCTGGAGGGCGTATGGTATTTCTTTTTTTTTTTATACACGTGTGTGTGTGCGAAGGTTCGTGTTTGTGTCAGGATGTCTTCAAGGTAGAACAGAAATGCTTTGACCCATCATCCAGCGCCCCGCTTACTTAATTAGTGTGGCGCTAAGCACCTCTACACCGGAAGGGGGCTCAAATCAAAGAGCATGATTTAGAAGTCTTGGGTTCAAAGCCCTGGGCAGAGACTGGACTACGCCGTCTCATTTCAGTGAGAAATATTCAAATCTTGTCCATGTGAGGAAATCAAAGTAAAGCCCCTTAACAAGTAGTTGATTGCTGTGCCTCACAGACAGGAAGCGGCTGTAGAATCTTGTCAGAGCTGTGTGCTCAAGAAGTAGTTCAAGGGCCAGTTAATGGTCATTGAGGATGTGGTGGGAAGGTTTTTTTCAGAGAAGCCTGGTGATTATATGGCTGCTGGAGTAATAATGAGGGGGATCGCTCTGCCCTACATGGTTATAGTCAGACTGAAGATCAATTTCTGTTCTTGAAGTGAAAACATTGGCTTGCCCACTACACCAGTCCACACTGCAGCTTGTAATGTGAGCTTGGCAGTCTTGTTTGTGTGCGTGTGTGTGTTTAGGAGGTCTTCCCAGTCCAACCCAGACCACAGGGATGGGCCGTGTCTCTGACTAACTCCCCACTCTGCTTGAGTGATCAAACTGCTGGAAGCTCCCCGCCATGCCAGTCCCCTCATCAATATAAATTACAGGGGCAGCTGTTCACTGGCAGTCTCCTCTCCTCTCCTCTCCTCTCCTCTCCTCTCCTCTCCTCTCCTCCACCTTTCCTTCATCCACTCAACTGGACTCATCATTGCACCATCAGAAGGTGAAGTGTTCTGGATGAAAACAGATACTTTTTTCATTGTGCCGATGATCTGTGATCATAATTTACAAAAGTAGCACCCTCTCTTTTCTCTGTCAGTCAAATGCTTCTTTCGTCATTCTCCCTAAGGGGCGGCCCCTCATTGGCACTTTCTTTTACCACAAGGCTGTAATTCTCTGCAAGAAGTGAGATGTGGTTTTCCTGTACATCTCCCTGACAGTTTTGCATCTGCTTCATATGATTTATCTGTAAAACTGCCTGTGTCAAAATGAGGTAATAACAACATCGAGAGAGAATTATATTTTATTTTATGAAATCTTTTCTCTCTTTGATGGCGGACACCAGATATGTGCCGTCACTTTCTCCTACCATGGCAGGGGTGCATTTAGTGTGAGATGAATTTCTGTTTGGACCTGTTGAGAGAGACGGTGTGGAGTGGAGGATCAGATGCGGCAGCTGATTACACTGAGATTAGACGTCTCACCTCTAATCTTCCATCAGCAGTCTGGGGTTCTGTCTCACTGCTCAAATAGCAGAGAGCTAGCTAACACACACGCAACACACACAAACACACACAGGTCGTGTATCCTGGATGCTCTTCCTCTGGACAGAGCAGATCTCCTGATTACACAGAGCTAATCCACTCTCTTGTAGCAGCAGATGTACAATATACTGAGTGTCTGCTGACTGTTCAGACTACGATACACAACAAAACAATGGCTTATGTATTGCATTATTTTTTGCATTGTGCTTTTTTTTTATATTAGACAAAACATACCAGATAATATGACAATATGCTAATATTTACAAATAATAGAAACCATATAATATTACAATAAAATCCAATTCAGCAAAAACTACATCTTCAAAAATCACTGTATCCCCTTTAAGTGAGAAAACTGAAAAACTACTGTCACAAATGCACTATTCACTCATATTCAAGCAATGCTCATTTAACATTATTGTATTTGATTTCATTATATTTCACAGGTGTTGACATGCTGTTATTCTGCCAGTCCCTTTCATCAATGTGTAGTAGTCTACATTGTGTGTCTCTAGATTTGGAGTAGAGTGGCCAGAGGGAGGCAGTAGTATAAATGTAACTCAGAGAAAGGAAGTAAGGAGACAGACGATCCCTCCTTTTTCCCTCTTCAGTCTTACAGATGCACACGCTAGAGAGTCTCACTTTTTTCGCACTTAACAGTATTTATCTCCATTGTGGTGACAGTCTCCTCACGCTGATTGAGAAACATGGCCTCGCTCCTGCAGCTTCATTTATTTGCGAGCGGCAGGCACAGGGCTGCTCTCATCAGAGATCTGCACTCACATTGCATTAGCAATAGTACAGCCCATTTTTTATAAAAGAAGCAGATGATTAACATTATTCTGCACAAAGAGTATAAAGTTACACTGAAATTACAACAGTCACTGGGACTCACTCAAAGATTTCATGGCTTTGTGCGTTTGGAAATTCTCTGATAAAAGTAGTCTGGTGTGTGTTTGGGAAAATATGCTAACAACATTATTAATCCCAACAATGCTGCCTGTGTTCACATGGCACAATAACTGCATTTACCCCCGTGAAGCATCTGCTTTACCTCTAAATGACATGGCAGAGCCTACTCAGAGTATTAGGATGCAAATGCACTGGCTCTGTGAGTTGAGGCACTTGCAGTTAATCAAACATGAGATTTATGGTCCTTAATAGTGCTGTACATTGCCAATTTAGGAGAATAATATGTCCCAGTTGCTGTCTAATTTTGCTTGGCAACAGGCGCACTCCTGTGGAATCGCCCGGGGCAGTGTGAGTTGTCTCTGCATAGCCCAGTGTTCGCATGCTCAGTGGTTGTTTGAAGGTATTTCATCATATTGTTGCCTTGATTCAGCTCTGTGGGGATTTGTTAGTTGCACTCATGTGGGAAGTGCATCCAGTACATTGTTAAGCTAGGGCTGATAATGAAGATCAGCCAGCCAGAGTCCCCTGAGCTACGCAGAGAGAGATCGTCTAGTGAGACGCGCAGCACAGACATAGTGGAGCAGGACGAGCGCACGCAGCAATACACACAGACGCAGAGGAATCATCAGCACAAAGCATACAACACTGAGCTGTGTATTAGAGTAAGAACACAATACACTAACACATACGGTACATTAGATTTTTATCAAACGTGTTATACCTTGTTGTTCTTACTAAACACAACTCCAACCTCGTAAAATTGCCACTGTTATGTTTAAACGTTAGTTAAGCAAAATTGCAATCATTTTAATGCTACTGCCTTTTTGTTAGAATTGATATTGACAATGCAGGGCCCATAAAAACACAGCAGCTCTTTCCGTGGAAAGTTATTTGATTCTCAGCGTGGTGCTAGAACGTTTTGTTTCCTCTCCTCCCGCAGCAACATTGAACACTTTAATTGACACAATCTTTTTCTCCCTCTGTACTGTAGGTTACGTTTCATCCTACTCTATTTGTTTGTTCCACAAAAAGAGTATTTTCTTTTCGGACATTTGGGTTTAATCTATAATAGACGGCTATTTTTTTTCTGAAATAGGTCAGTGTAATCACAACAGTGAGGGATGGACAGTCACTGTAAAAGGGAAATCAATAGAGCTATCTATTTGTCGTAAACCAGGCCAGCATGATTTTTCTCCATTTTTCCTCCCCTGCCATATTTTTTCCCTCTCCAACACAATATGGCAGGTCCTCATTTTTCAGTAAAAGCATTATGTCTACCATTTTGTAAAATTGCAAATGGCCTTTTGAAAGTGCACTTTCTTTGCATAAGTTTCTGTGGGTCGTTTCTATTTATTGCCTCCTGGGGGCCCACTGTGTTTTATAAGGAAAAGAATAGTGAGGGGGGCCGCAGGGGTTTTGCGACAGCTTTTTGTGAGGCTGGGGGTGCTCTGCTTTTGTTGGCTCTTAATCTGGTTCTTCTCTTGATGCCGGCGCTTTCAAAGAATTTGAGCCAGAGCAGAGAGGCCTCGTCAGCTTTTCCTCACCCTTTCTCTTTTGTGTCTCACCCTAAAACTGAAAGGCCCTGTCTTGAGGTGTTGTCAGACCAGAAAACAAGAATAAGTGACATGTGACAAGAAC